TTATTTATTTATTTATTTATTTATTTATTTAATAACTGCTTGTACAGCTTGAGAAAAAATGGTTCTTTAAATGTCTTAATTTAAATTTGCCTCATCTATACAAAACATGTTGGTATTTTTTAAATTCCAGTGAAATATATTTATGTTTGTGGTTGTAATGTGACAAAATATGGAAAAGTTCAAGGGGTATGAATACTTTTGCAAACCACTGTATATATACATTTTTTAATGGCAGTTTTATTAGGCCTCCCTTGGGTAAGTGTACAACACTATGTGTCCCTCTGGATGCTCAAATCTGCTCCCACCCTGGCTCACAAAGCAGGATGTCATGTTATTTATTTTTATTTTTTTCACTGACCGTGTCATACAACAATAAATCTCTGGACCCAGTGTCAACAAAAAACTGTGGCCCCTTCCATTATTTAAGTTGTCCTTCCATGGGATAATGTATTAATGTCAACAATTAAATAGTGAAATATTCAAAATTGCATTATTTTACAAATTCTGACAGAAAGAGCAAAACTGCTAAATGTTTTACTTTAGAACAGTCAGCACCTATCAGGGTGATACTGCCTTTGACTTTTTTATGCAGAAAATAAAATACCGTCCAGCGTTTTTTGTTGTTTGTTTCTTCATGTTTCCTTTAATATTAAAAAAATAACACTAACAGCTCTTTCTTTTGTAATCTCACATACTGTAGAAGCCTGAAAAAAAAAAAAACACCAAATAAATAAAAACACTAGATTTCATAATTAGTACAATTATAGCATGGGACTATTTTATGGTATTTGTATTTTGTGAGATTTGATTCACTGATGATGGTGATGATGATGATGATGATGATGATGATGATGATGATGGTGATGATGAAGTGTCAGTCACTGCAGTGTTTTGTTTGTTGTGACTCATTTTATTAGAGGAGCTTTGCTAGGGAAGTCCATAAAGGTGCCCTGCCAGGCCTTTGAAAGGAGATAACAAATATGTAAGGACTGAATTTAAACTAAATAAAATTTGGAACTTTTATTTCATTATTTTTTTCACCCATTACTTTCAACTCTTCTCTTAAGAAAAAAACATCATTAATTTATACCAACAAACTGCTGCAAATGTGAAAGCCAATAAAAATAGAAAAAGTGTACGATAAACCTTATCTAAAATCAAGCCTTTTTTTGCAGAGCTGTTTAAATAACATGTAAGCTGTGTATTACCTTCGTAGACGGCTTTAAATCCCTGCCCGCTGACTGCGTAGTCCGACAGCAGCCACAAGGTGAGCCTGGAGCCTGTACTCACTATGGGTGAAGGCAGCTGGAACCCAGTTAACCTGAGAACAAATGGAGGGGAAAAAAATAAAGAAACAGACAATAATGGTCGGACAAAAGTTCCAGTCGACAGCACAGACTGTTGCAAGGTCAGGCGTGACGACAGTTTCCTTCAAGCCTCCATTCAGCCAGCTGTTCTCACAGGCATTCAGAGATAACTTTGTGTATAATGAGCTATAAGAATCAGTCACAACTTAATGAAATGTCAAGTACTCAATGAGACAGGAAATCTAGACATTTTTTTTACTTTTTTGCAAAGTGTTACTACAGACATATGCAAAAAAGACGTAAATGTGAGAGTGAAGCGTTTAAACAAACAGCAATCACACATAAATGTCAAACACTGAGTAAATATATTTTAAAATGTCTAGTTTATAGATATGAATTTCAACAGGCAATGTTTCAAGTAAGGTTCAGATGCTTTAGATGCTTTTCTCTGTGTTTTTTTTTTTGAGACATTAATCTTACAGAAATGCAAAATATAAAAAAAACATTATCGCCCACCCTTTTCCTCTCTGCAGTGCGGGATAAAAATAAATCCCCCACATTTATTTTTACTTCTGTATTAGGTGTTAGCACTACGCAAGCCCAAGTGTAAGGTGTTAGATCCTATTTTGATACAAGATAAAAAATTAATTTCTATTCTTTTATGAAAATAAATTGCAGACACATCTATTAACATGATCTTCAAAGTACAAATGCTTGGTATAAAACATCTGACAAATTGAATGAGTCAAGGCTTGAGAATATTGCACCTTTGAATAAAACAAGAAAAACAAACAAAACTTTCAACACATGAATTCATTGTGAGATCATCTTTTTAGTCCATACATTTTTTTTGGCACACATTGTTTTGTGTCATTTTGACCATATCTAATCGTTTTTAGGCTAATTTAGGCTGTTTTATGCTAATTTCATCTGTTTTCTTTGTTTAACTTTTTTTTTTCAGCTTGGTTGAGCTTTTTTTTTTCAACTAAATTAAATTTGAGCTTCTTATTGCTTAATTCAGCAATGTTTCTTGTGCTAATTTCATCCATTTCTTCTACTTTTTAAATCTATTTTAGAGTAGTTTAAGCTTTGTTGGTTATTCAGCGAAAAACATTTTAGCATTAAGCATTTACACTGCTAGTTACAACCAGTACCAATTCACGGGTACAAAAACTCCTTCAATGGTGACTCTTTTTAAAATAATATATTTTTTAGCAAATAAAATTAAAATGTACAGAATGTGTAATGTTGTGTGCCATGGATTGCTGTGAGCCAAATTTAATAAAAAGAACAATTAATGACAAAATAAAATAAAAAATATAAACATGTAAATAAAAATGCTCCCAATAAAGGCCAGAGCATGTGCCACACTAATCCATGCCGGGTGTGTTTGTTATACAAGCTTGAGCTTTGATGTTGAGGCCAAGATGCCCACAAGATGCAGAGACCCCCCCCAGACTAGGACAGCAGACCAAAGGCAGGAGCAGAGCATTGCCAAAACTATGGCAGGCTTGGACACTGAATGAAATATTGTATTTAAAAACATTTATCAGTCTAACATTGCAGACTAGACTGAACTGATTTGGCATCAAAACTATAACATAAACGCAAGAAAAAAGGCGATGCTATTTATAGCACTTCTGTTCATATTTTACTCAAATGTCTTTGTTTTTTTTATAATATTCGTTTCATTTAAACAACAAACACAAACAGTAAAAATAAACTACAAAAGCACAATATCATTAAATGAAAATGAGCAGAGAGAAGAAAATAATCTTATATCTGCCCTTATA